CCTCGATCGCTCCAGCTCCACGTCCACTCGAGTGTCATATTCGAGTGGGCTTGAAGGTGATTAACGCGATCATAGAAATGATGTTTTCCAAAAAAAAAAATATGTGTATATGAAAAAAACTTAAAAAATAATAACAAAATGCGCATAAGCGTAAGTGTGTCGGATCGTCTTCGGTTCACGATGCTAACAACACCTGAAGTGGCCCCTACAAGCGATCGCCCCGATCCGATCCGATCACACACTGATCGCAGTCTACGATCGTGACTCTTTCTTTCTTCATTTGCGCACGCGCTAAATGTCAAAATTGTTTAAAAATTGTCTACTGAGCTGATCGCAGCACAACGAAGCTCAGAGTCTCTTTCCATTGACAAATATTATTCCAAATGTATCCCTGATTCTACAAATAAAATAAATATATATATTATAGTTAAAGCTTGACCCTCATTGATGACTGATTCACGGACATGAGTCAGTGACTGACTGATTGTCTGACTGTCTGACTGACTGATTGACTGACTGAATGACTGATTGCTGATTGAACAGCTTTGTCTTTGTCCTTTCATTATTCAATATACTTTTGTATAACTATTTCTGCCTGCCAATTGCATTTTATTCGGATATTTCCATACTTTTTATACTGCTATTTTAATTCCTTACCCAAACCTATATGCCCTATGGAAGGGTATTAGCTGCGGCCGCCTGTTGTTTTGGGCTTTTGGCGTTTGATGTTTGGTTTGCTGCTGGCTCTGGCTGCTGGCTGCTGGCTCTGGCTGTGGCTGTGGCACGGGCATGGGCACGCCCTCAACGGCATGCCGCCCACTGGAACGTGTCGAATCATTCATTGCATTGCGCAGAATGTGGGCTGCCGCTGGCGGGCCTATTGGGCCTTCAAGGTGTTGAAAACAGCGAGTACGCCGGGTCGGTTCGGGCCGGGCCGGGCCAGGCCGGGTACAGAGCGTTTTGTGTGCATTTGTAATTGTTAAAAGGCTCTGCCCGGCTCAGCTCAGCAGCTCAGCAGCTCAACAGCTCAGCTGCTTGGCTGCTGCTGTCATTATTTTCTGTAACATTTAGCAAAATCATTAATAATTGTTGCTGGCCATGTTGTTGCTGTTGTTGCTGCAGCCGCGACACAGATACGCACTTAAAAATTGTCAGACGAGCGACAGAGACATCGCGCCGTGTTGCCTTTGCATTTGGTGTTAACTTGATTAGCATTCGCATAAATTGTGATTGTTCATGTTGATGTTGACTTGTTGCAGTTGCATCTTGTCTGGCATTTGCATAGAATGCGCATTTGGCTCTCAGCTTGCAGCTCTCAGCCGTGATTTGGGTTAATGTTAATTGCCGCTATCTATGGCCAAATATCTCTAGATATCTGCTAGACATCTGCCTTTAGCCAGAACTGATCGAATCCGCTGAGAATTCAATTAAAATGCGTTATGCAAACAAATGCTTCGATTGGGCTGCGATCCGAGTGCTTTCCACAGAATATGCGAGTAAACAAGCGATTCCCGAGAAATATCGGGCCACAAAACAAATTGCCGCGTAATCTTCGAGTGCCTCCGGGGCGACCAAATAAATCGAAACCAATTTTTGAATACGATACATTGTCCTTTAGTTTTTATCAACAAGTGCCGCCAAGTGGAATCAATCAAGCGAAGATTTTCAGTATTCCTCGGAGAGTTTCGGCAGCGTTTGTTGCCCGCCTCAAAGCGTGACAATATTTTGGCCACAGATTCAGTTGAAACCAGGGTATAACCAGGGGCAGGGGCAGGGGCAGGGTCAGGGGCAACGGGAGCCTTTGGGACAGTCGACACATGTAATTAATCATGCGACTTGTACGATAAGGTCACACTCTGGCTGCGAGCTGCAATGCCCAGAATAAATACCAATAAACAACAGGTACTTTGTCCCCTAAGGGGTTGAGATGACACCGTCGTGTGTGGGGCTAAGGCGGGGGCGCAGAGCACGAAGGATGGGGTAGCATCCATAAATCCCACAGATATCGCATTGAGAAAATCACTGAACGACATGGGTCAGCGGATTGCGGGCGTGGATTACAAGGAATTTGTATATTTATTGTGACTTTGAAAAATTCTGACATAAAAGCGCTAATATTGATACATTTCAGATCGGACAAAAACAAAAAACAGAAACAAAAGAACAATTAAAATAATTAATGAAGCAAAGTTCTGGTTTCGGAAATTTTTGTACCAAAAAGTTTCTGCTATACAAATCTATAAAATAAGCAAAATGTCTTGCAAAAACAATGGTCCAGTTTTGATAAAGTTAAGGAAATTAAAGTATAGCACATTTATGTTTAGATGGCTAATTAACCAAACTTAAAAAGTGGTAACTTTTGACAACACTGGGAGGTTTTTAAATTGGGTTGAGAGACTACAGAAAATACCAGCAGAGAAAATGGCTTAAGGCAGCCTTTTCATTTTGATGTTTCCAACATATTATAAATACAATTTTTACCTATTACCTAACTAATAACACAAGGAGGAAAAACTTAAGCAAATATAAAAGTCGATTCAACTTTGACACTAATCGAAGAATGAAGTGTTCAAGTAGCAAGTACGAAGGACTTTGAGAACTGTGTATACATTTGTGTCATTTCAGACCGAAAAATTACCTTTAACTCTGAAAAATATAATATTTGGCACCTATTTTAATATACAACTCAATCAAATATGCAAACGTGAGAAATTCTAAAGATCTATCGAAAAGGTAAATATTTTATATTTTAATAAAGTAACGTGGGCTTGAAATCAAGAGATGCATTTCGATTTTTAAGCTTCAAAAGTTGAAAGATGTACTAGTCCTGTTATAGATAGATAGACGTTAGATATGTATCTAAAAGATACGTAAGACAGGCAGCGCGCTGTGGCAAACAAAGCAACTGACGTGGAGTACAACAAAGAAAACTACACGCAACTGACATTGTCAAAAGCAGATACATTTGTAACTCAGGTGTACGTGCGTGTGTGTGTGTCTGTTGTGGCATTAATGGCAAATTTGCACGAGGTAAATACGAAAAAGCATACAGAAGGACAGAAAGACAGACAGAGAGGCAGACAGACAGAGAGATAGACAATGAGTGAGTGAAGTGCCCGCAACGGCAGTCAATTATCAATAGACAGACAGGCAGCTACACACATGTGTGTGTGTGTGTGTGAGTGTGTGTGTGTGTGTGTGTGCGAGTTAGTAACTAACGCAGAGCTAGAGCTATGTCTGGTTGGCGATACATTTGTATCTCAACTAGTCTGCTGCCGTCTGCCACTTCACCTGCGCGTCATGTTTTCGCTTGACTTCAATTTTCATTTTGTTTTGTTTCTTTTTGCTGCACACGCAAAACTAACCGCAACGTTCGCTACTTCTCTCTCGCTCGCTCTCTCGCTCTCACTCTCGCGGTTCGGCTAGCTGATTGGCTGGCCGCGGCGACTGCGCCGCTGCCATTGAGGCCACACCTCTACAAGACTGCCGTCTTGTGGCCCCCATGTTTAGACAAGCGTCGCGTGTCGCCCCCGGCCCCAACTCGAATCCGAATCCAAGCTCGCAATGGGCACCCTCTGGCCAGCTGGCCAGCCAGCATAAAGCTGCGGCCAGCTTTCATAATGGATTCTAGGGGTTGCCGGCTTGGGGGGCAGGCCTGGGGTTGGGGGTGCTGCTGCCATTCGGTTCCGTTCTGGTCAAAATGAAAATGGCTTTTATGTTTGTGGCGTGCGCTGGGATAATTTTATGCCCGTTGTTGCTGCGGTTTCAGGGAATCGCTTATTGCTATACAAATATATACACACACATATATACAGACATATAGTACATAGGAGTTGATGTTTAATGGTTGGTTTATCGATTTTGTTCGGGGCTAGAAAGCATGTATATGCTGTAGAAAATTAGCTAGTAAATTTATGATTTTATTTTATTTAATTATTTTTTATGTCACAGTTGCGTGTGCTCCATTAAAAAGCAGCATATAAAAATCAAGCTGATGAGAGGGTAAAGCAAAGGGTTTCACATATGGAATTTTAGCTATAATAGCAAAAAATATCCCATTTGTTATAGCAAATGTCTATATAGAATACTCAATGGAAATCTAAGTCTAACTGCATTTACTTATATTAATTGAATATGTGAAAACATTAAAAATATGTTTAACTATGGGTAAAAAGCTAAATAAAATATTCTTAATGAACAAATTTGTTATTATTGAAAACATTAATTTACAAATAAAATCTGGATACTCTGGTATCCGATTTAAATTAATATATAATAAAATATGGTTCATAGTAAGCTAAAATATAATTATATTTACTATAGCTAAATATATCTCGTGTTACATAATTGAAATGGATGTCAAATGATCCGCTTTATGTGCAATACAAGCAGACGCAATGAAGTTCGAAACTAAAATGGCGAATTCAAGCAAATTTGTTCAGTGGAAGCGACTCTCTTATACACGCCAATAAGATCGGCTTGACGCACAGCTGAGCCGAAAGAGAGGAAGCGAGAAAGAGAGAGCGAGCGACTGATAGCTGACAGTGTATAAGTAGTTGGGTATAAGAGCGCGGCACGATCGGTGCGAGAGGCGAGAACACCTGGTTGCGAGCGAAAAAGTGGTAAAAACAACAAACAACAAGCGTTAAGTCAGCTAAGCAAGCAAGCCATAAAGTCACTGAGCAGCAGGCTGGCAGGCGGGTGGAGAGGGAGGTAGGGTATTGAAGCGAAATCGGAGTCGGGGGCAGGGGTTCAGCTCAGCGCGACTCGGCTCAGGCCGACTGACAGCGACAGCGACAGCAAAAGGTGTGCAAGCAGACAGAGCGGCAGAGCGGGGGAGAGTCGCCGAGTCTGGTTAGCCAGGTATACATATGAGCGTATGTATGTGTGTATCTCTCGCTATGTGTGTGTGTGTGTGTGTGTGTGCGTCTGGCCCGCTAGCTGACTGGTGAGGTTCGTCTGCGCGAAACCTTCGCTCGTCCAATCAGTACGAACTCGGTTCCCGCCAGCGAAGAGACAACAAAAGCGACGAGCGCTCGGCCAGCTAATTTCCAAACTCAATTTTTCTCAATTCATATATTTTCGAAACATTTTCCAACTGCAGTCGCGCGTGCAACGTGAAGAAGATACATTTCGAACAATCTGTTAACAATTCTTTGACAAAATGCGACGCTAACAAATAAAAGAAAAAGTAATAATAATAATAAGAGGAAAAAAAGAGAAACCAAAACGCGGAAGTGAAAAAAGCCGCCGGCGTTTTTGCTGCTGCTCAACTTGGGCAAAGGATGTGCATTAATCAGATATCAGGAAATCTGAAACAGCAGCCGAATGATTGTTAATCAATGCACAAATCAATTGTGTAAACAAAAGCCGTGTGTGTGCGTGTGTGCGTGCGTGTGCGTGTGTGTGCTTGCAATTTGCATATCCTTGCAAATGAATAAAATCAATTTGCATATATTCAAGAAATAAATTGTAAAAGTTACAACAACAAAAAATCATTTCAACAGGCTGCTGCCCTCCCCCCTCACCCCTCACAGTGCCATGCAAATAAATTAAATATTGTTATTAATTATTGTGCCTTGAACTTGTCGGTGACTTGTGACCTAGAGCGTAAGCCCCAAAAGGAAATTAAACAAAATATAAAAATCTAGCATATAAAAGCCTTTCATTGTGTTGCATTGATGCCAACAAATTCTGCTTAAATGCATACGGATATTATAATTGGTGATCAGTTTGCCGTCAACAACAACTACTGGGTGATGCAGGTGAGAATTGCACGAAGAAGAAAAAAATATTTATAAAACAATTAAAATAAAGTTAAAGTCTCTAAAAGTTAAGTTAAACAAATCAAATGAGTAAACTTCAATTTGCACTTGGTTAACTTTGCGGAAATCAATTGTTAAATTTCGGAAAAGTTTCCTCATAAAAAAACGCAAATTTGATATTGTTAACAGATCGCTCGTTAAAATTGGCAATTCGCCGTTAAGCAATTACTATGCCATAATTATGCCAAATGTGCTAATTAAGCTTCTCTCTTTTTATTGTATTTTTAATTGAATCGCATTAAATGCTTCCGCTTATCAGAAATGCAAAACTTGCACTGGCCACAAGTTTCGGCTTTGACGTCTTGCCGGGCTAATTTGGTTGGGGATTTATAAATAAAATACACACACGCGGCAATCATATTTAAGCAAATTAAACTTGATTATCGTGCGGACACATTTGTGATAATAAACAGCCCAAAATCGGAGAGACCAGAGCGACCAGAGCGACCAATACAGATTAACACCTCGAACGGTGTACAGACTCAGGTGTCCCGGTGCGTCCAGGTGCGCATCTGTTCACAGGTGTCTTTGGGCTCATCAAAAGCGCATTTACGAGCACTCAGTATTTATACATGCACGCACACGAATATTTGTCAAAGCGCCGTCGGCAATCGATTTGTAAATCTTGTTATCACTCGGCCACAGGCAGACATCCTCATGTTGTGGCAACACTTTGAGCTCTTCTTAAACATTCGGTCGGTCAACTCTTTTGAACTTGGTCAGACTTGGACTCGGTCTTCATCATGGTCTTGGTCTCGGCGTCGACAGAGTCAGAGTCAGAGTCGCACTTTTGACGCACACCCCAAGAAAATTGTAGCGTGTTTTTTTTCGTGCTCTTGTCAATGTTTGTCAGCAGGTTCGTCCGGGCTGTTGCCAGTTCCTGCTCCGTCTGATCCGTCGCCTGCTCCGTTTGTTTGTCCATTGTTTGAATCGCGCTTACTTGCGAAGCTCTGGGTCAATATTTGAGCACAACACTTTGCCAATGTGCCAAGTGTTGTCGTTGTCGTCGTCGAGGTTCTTGTTGTTTTTGTTGTTGCTCCTTGGTTCTGTTGCCGGCTGTCGTCTCTATGGCTCATAGATGAGTAGCCGTAGTCGGTTTCATCAGCGCCAGCTGGGTGGCATTAAACATTGGCATACTAATCAGCATGCTGTAGCCTCTCTCTGGTAGCCTCTATTTTGACTTGAACCGAACCGAGTCATCAATTGGCCAACTTAAACAAATATTAAACAATCGCTTTGAAGATCAACGCATCTGTTTTATGATCTCATGATCTAATCATTCAACACGCACGCAATTGTCAATAAGAGTAAATAGAATTACAATTTGATATGCGAAGATAAAAGTCTTGTAACTTCGCATTTGAGGGGTAAATAAGCTAAAGCTACCTATTTATCTATCGATGATCTACCTTTATCCATCTCTTTATCTATATCTCTTTCAATAAATCTATCCTTCACATTTCGTTCTACCTTTTTATATATCTATCTGATCTGTTTTCATTCTTTCTATCTTTCTATCTTTGAAATGTATCTTTATATATCTATTTGTCTATGGATCTGTCCCTGCTATGTATCTATATATGTTTATCATTTATTTCCTTTCTATCCATCCGCCCATAAGTATCTATCTATATATGTTCTATCTATCCATCGGACTGATGGATATATATATATATATATATCATCTATATGTAAAACTATGAATCAACTCATCTTTGTATATATTAGCCTGTATATATATTTTTTGTTTATAACAGTCTATCTAGCCATTCATTTAACTCTATCTTTCTTTTTAAAGAAAGACCAATCCATATTTCCATATTTCCTTAATCTTTATTATTTATCAACTCATTAACTTATAGTGTCCAGATTTCCTTTAAATTATACCTTGATTTCGAAATACGCTGGCAATCTATTATTTGTACATTCATTTATGGAGTTCTTTTCACTTTCCCTGATTGATTGATTGAACACCTGTCAAACCAATGTCGAATAGTTTGCCTACAAGTCTACCCGTGTTACCCATTGATAAGCATTTCGCAGACAACCGCTCCGACTATTGCCTTACTCAACAAAACCGACAACTAGAGAAATAACCCTTTCAAGACCCTCACCTCGCGCTAGAGATAAGAAACCCAACTACTTAGTCAGTCAATCAGTCAGTCAGTCAGTCAGTATATCTGTGACTGAGGCGATTCTCAGGAAACGACATCGTAAAAGAGCTCGCACTCAGTCTTTCCGTTCCATTCCATATCCACTTCCAGTCCCGTTTCCCCCTTCCCCGATGTTCGACAAGTGTTGTTCATGCTGTTGTTGTTGTTGTTGTTCGTGTTGTTGTTGTTGTTGTTGGTGCTGTTCCGCTGTCACCATCAATAGCTGCACTAATTAGGCATGTGTTGTCAAATATTTACACACGGCCGCAAAAGTACAAAGCGATGTCGACGGCTCTTCATGGCTGATAGCAAAGACGAGTTCGTGGGGCGCTAAGGGTATGGAGAGGGGGCCTCAAAGTAGTGGGGGGAGACCTCTTCTTCCGTTTTCACTGATTTAACAAAAGGGTATTTCCCACGCCTCACACAGACACGCGCATCGATTATGACGAAAACTTTCATATTTTATGGCATTTAACACAAAAATTAGTTTATGGTCTCTTACAAGGAATTTAGCCAGCTAATAGGCCAGATATGGGCAGCTATGGCCAGCTTTGGATGTGGCATGACTTATCGCGACCCGGCCAGACTCTAACTGCATGAATAATTGAGCTAATCGAGTATATGGGCACCTGGCTTGGGGTCTACAGTCTCCGTCTCCGGTCTACGGTCTCCGGTCTCTGGTGTCCGGTCTCTGGTGCACTGATTAATGGCCCTGGCCATTGTGCTTCAATCACATATGCGCAAATAATTAAATATAGATAAAAATCAGATTACTCATACGTCATGTTGCCGGGCATTAGATGGCGTAGCAAACGTTGCCGGGGCGTGGCTGTCAACGGTTATGCAAATTGTACATAAAATGCAACAAAACACATTTTAAGATTCGAAGCCGCAGCCAAAGCCAATTTGTCAATTCTCCAAAATAAAAATAACATTCAGGTTCGAGTATATAAAATGTCTCGTATCAATAAAACATATTTGCATTCGAAAAAAATCAAAATACAAAGGCGGCCGCCTTCAAAGCGTCTAACGAGAATTGCATTTTGATATCTTGCAGATACACAATACCTAAAGATACATAGATACATCATTTAGGCCATAAAATTGTAGCAAAAATAAAATAAAGAAAGAATAAGAACAATACAAAGGCCAGGCCCAGATAAGATAACCAAGTTCCGGCATGTCAAACATTATTGGCAAGGGTATTCGTATTCGTTTTCTATTTTTTCTATTTGGGATGGCTTTTAACAGACACTTTCCATTTCGTTAATGTTGCGAAACGAGTTCAAGAGTGGGTCAAATCGCTGGCCAAATCCAAATGCCAATTACAAGCGGCCCAAGCGCTCAATGTTAAATAATAATAATAAGTAAACTGGGCCAAAAACTATAACAACAACTACTTATGCCTAACAACAACAATAACAACAAAATCTCATTAAAAAGCCGCTGCGCGCAGTGGGAGCTCTCCGATTGGCATCGCTTCGATTCTATGCAAATCTATAGACGATTTCCAGCGACTACAAGTATTACCGATCATAATGCCAATTTATGGGGGTCTCCACATTTTGTTTTTCGCCAATTCATGCCAATGAAAACGAAAACTGCAATTGCCAAATGGCAATTGGCACACGGCACAAAATCTTGAAATTCATTTTGGCCACATTTGATTGATATGCCGCATAGACGGGCTGGAGGTCAAGTTGGCTATTCCATTTGGGTTTCTTTCTCTTCTGCCATTTGGCCAAGCGAAAAATGGCAACAAGAATCAATCACTCTCAACTCACTGCGTGACACAACTGCGAAGCGCAGGATGAAGAGGCTGAGTCCACAGTCTGCGGCGGGTTTTCAAGAATTTGCCATAAGGCGACGGATGTGCAAGGCGGCACAGTGGTTGGAAGTTGGCTGTAAAACTAATCTTTTCTCTATCTAAATGCATGGGAGTTAAAGGAAATCGAAAGCATATTAAGAAAATTTAACTTTAGTAGAATATATAAGTTGCGTCCAATCGAATTTCGACTTCCACAAGTTGAAGCTCATTCCAATCGAACCCAAATCAACAAGTTTCTACGAATGCTTTCAGACTTATCCTTTTATTTATTAAGCTTTCCAAATGTTATCGAAATAATGTCCATTTCTGATTGATTGCAAAATAAATGTCTAAATTCTTAAGCTATCAAGGCACTGTGCCCCAATGGCACGTGTGAGCTGAGCTAGAATTGCTGTCCCAATACCTGAGCCCATCTAATCCGCATTTCTTTGGCGCACAGTCCCTAAAACTTATGGATACCCTAATTTTTGATGGATTGTGTGCGATCGAAATTCGTCGAATGATTGCGGAAACGAGTTTGTGCAGATTGAAATTTCCTGCGAGGTGCCAAAACAAGGCAACAACAAAGCTTATTCTCAATATGCGTTATTTTCTTTGTTTTTTTGGTGTTTATTTTTTGGGTTTGATTAATTTTTTAGCATTGAAGCGCAATTCGTTCAGATTTGATTGGATCTAAAGCTGCGAGCAGCTGACAGACACGTTTTCAGTTTTCTAAATAAAGAAATAATAAATTCCAAAAAAAAACCTAGCTAAAATTATGTTAGCGGTTCGGCGCTCATTTGAAGACGCATTAAGATCAATTATTTGATTATGAAATCAAATCAGCATAAAATCTTCAAATAGTTGACCAGCTTATGGCGACCCCGCCATGTTAAATGTAAGCACTGTAAATTTCAGATGCTGTCAACAATTTCTAACAGTAAACAAAACTTAAATAATAAACACCCATATTTTAAAGGTGAGAAATGGTAAAGAGAAACATGAAACGACCGACATTTAGCGTTGATCACGGGCCGTTGATAAAGCCATCAGCAACAGCTCGTAAAAGCCACTCAAAAGCTTAAACAAATAAGCGAGCTGCCAAAACTCAGGTTGCGAAATTAATTTATAAATTAAGCCAATAGCCAACCAATTAGGTTTATTTGCACAATGCGCAAGCTTTTATTCCAGTTTGGATTTGGAATACTTGTTGAAAATCAGGAAGTTTTAATGTTGCTATTGAATTTAATTGCAATTTAATTGCATTGAAAAAGTATTTCAAAAGTATTCATTTATTTATGAGCTACTTTTTAACAGTCCAGTTTGCCAGTTCTTAATTGCGAGGGATCACTGTGGGCGGGATCAAGGTGTTGTATTTTACAAGGCTTTGCATGTTAAGCTTAGCCAACGTCAAAAAGTCTACCAACATGCGTTGACATACATGTACACACACACACACACAGCGACACACACACACACACTCACAATTTAAGCACACATGCTGGCCTGGCCATGTCGGCCTAAAATTACCTGAGATTTTATTATTTGCTTATTTAACTTTTATCACCAATTAATGAGGCTCATTTGTTGTTGCTGCCATGGACGCAGCTATATTTGATCGATCATTTACGCTAATTGCCAGAGTATGCAAAAAAAATAAATAAAAATCAAAAAAAAGAGTTTGCAAAAAAAAAATAAAGAAATAAAAGGTAAATAAAATAAAAATGTAAAGTAAACCTGACGGGACAACGCAGCGGCGCGCACTTGGCCTAAAAATAAGCGCCGAAATCTTTTTGCCAATTGACCCACTAATAGGCCCTGTCAATAAGAATGCTGCCAGCGCCGAGAGAGCGTGAATGACTTGCGGCCGGCTGAGCGTCGGTTCAACTGACTTGACTTGGGCTCAATGTGTTGGCCGTTGAACTTTATGAGCGCCCCTCTCCTCCTATTGGGCTGCTGGGCTACATGCGTGGCTTGGTATTTTGTTTCCTGTTGCTTGTACTACACACAAATTAATTGCCCGCAAATCCTGTGCCTCTGCTCAGCTCCCCCTCCCCTCCCCATCACGCGCTGAGCAGGGAGACCGCCGTTTGTTGCCGCATTATTCAACAGTTTTCACTTCAAATTTTATTGATCAGCGCTGCGTTTGCAAGCTTGCAACTGCAACGTGTTGCGCATGCGTAGCCCTTTACTAGTAACTTAACTACTCCCTCCCCAAGCACCTTCTCCCCTACCTTTTGCCCGTTCAGCCTCACTGCTCGTTGCCCTTTCGCTTGATCGGAAATTGGTTTTATGCCTAGCTTCCAGAATGCCCTCAATTCCCTGGGCTGCTCACATTTCCTGTCAATAAGCGCCCCTCGCGCATTGCGGCGCATTTTCACCCCCGCACGTATGAATTGGGAATTGGCATTTAATGGCTTCAGTGGACACCCTAAAAAAGAGTAAGTGAGCGCGTGTGTGTGTGTCTGTGTTGCGTTATGATTGCTCAGCGTGAAATTGTGAGAAAAAATTTCCATAGGCTTTGCCATTAAATTATGTTTTAATATGCGCTGCAAAGGATATTCAATATCGTCCTGCTAGTGCAATGCAATAGCTGTGCGAAGGTTTTTATGCAAATGTTGGGAATCACAAATAAAAGGTAAATAATATAAAAAAGGGAATGTAAATCGTTTACTCACATAAATGGGGTTTCCGATAGACTCTCAATTAGGTTGTTTCCTGAAAAAAAAAATTGATTGTTGTAATTATTTGTAAGTCAAAATCATTAATAGCCTATAATATATTTTGATGTTCTTCATTTAAAGACAATTAAAATATAAATGTATCTAGATTAAGCCAAGCCAACTTATTATAATTGCTTTTTTATTCTACTATATTCCTTAAAGTTTCCTGCAAATTGTGAATATCTTAAATTTAGGTTTAAACACTTTTTAAATACTTTGTAGATCCTGGCAAAGAACAGAATTTAGCCTCTTTTAACAAATCAATTCGCAATTGCCCCTGCCATAAACAAATTAGAACACTTCATTTAAACTCAAACATTGGAAAAATAAAATCATTAGAATATCAAACTAAGCCCAATGGAAAATGGAAACATTTATATGCAGCCAATAATGACAAAACATCAATATGTACATTCGACTCTATATTGTATATGTAGACAGTCAACAATAAATACTCAATAACATCAGTCAAAGATATGTAAACTAAAAAAAAAATAGTTAAAAGCAGCAGCAACAAAAAGAAGAAATAGAAAAAAACTGTCGCAAATTGCGGTCATTCGTCATGCGCACATGAGCAGAACGGCAGAGACAGAGTCAGAGGCAGAGGCAGCGGCAGCGGCAGAGACAGAGAGTAGCCCCCAACAATAACAAATGCTTTAGCAAATGGCGTCTTGGCAAATGAGGGCGATTTGTGGGCGAGTGTGGGGAGAGCGGGCGGGCGGGCGCTCTGGCGTTCAGCGCGAGTCACAGCAAGCGCTTCAACTATGTAAGAGTAGCAAAAAGCAACAACAAATAAATATACTTACATACATATGTATGCACAACAAGAGTAAGAGCAAAGAGAGGGAGAGTAACGGCAGCAGCAGTGAGCAGCTTTTATCGCAATGCTTTTGTTTTTGTTGTTATCGAGGGGCTGATGAGGCAGAAAACAAACAAAACAGCAACAAAAACGTTGATACTTTTGTCTTTTTTTTTTTTGCTACACACATGTGCATATGCTTATGTATATACATACGTATGTATATATATGTACGTATGTGTGTGTTGCTGTTTTCTAACTATGAAATGTGTTTTGATTTGCTGCGCTTGCAAAAAGCTTTCTGCTGCCCGCTGGTTGGGCGACAGCCACAACGACAGCAGTATGCGGGGAGGGGTAGACCTGAAGCGTGGCTGGCGAGGCAGGGGGGTCGCTTTGTGTCGCAGCTCAATATGGCGTCGCTGCGACGGCGGCTGTTAAATGGTGCTTAACAGCGCTCAGCGGCCAGCGCTGCGTGAAGTGCGCATGTCGCGACGACAAACAGAGAGAAATAGATACACACGCACACACACACACACACACACACACCTTCATGCTTATATATCTACGAGTGCGCGTGTGAGTGGGCACTGTACATAGGAAGACAATTGCGCTTAGCTGAACTACAGTTATGAGAATAGGCAACACAGTTGGAACAGTTCAATTGGGATGCGCCATTTTGGTAGCTGTGACAGCGTGTGCGTCTGTGTAAATATGTGTGTGTGTTTGTGTGTGTATGGAAAATATTAAGTAGAAAACATATACATATATGTTAACTTAACTCTTACGTTTTGGAATGCAAAAATGAGACCTAAAATATTGTATGCTAAGAATAAAAAAAGTTGGATAATGTAGATCTATAAAAACAAAATTATGTAAAGAATAAAATTATGTTAAGTATAAGTCATAAAAATAACATTTTTTCTGCACATAGGAAGTTTTGTGGGAACAGCTAAATTATATATATCTGTTCTTAGCTAACTCACGAGCTGATATATCATAAAATATTATATATATATATAATATTTACAAATATCATACAGTTTGATAGTCATTATAGACCTTATTTGAATTTACGCGTACTTAGCTTAGTTTCTATCCCAACATATGCTGCTTTTCTATCAAACTTTTATTGCTCACAAATTTATTCCCAATTCTAAATTCAATACAATCTTTAAAGATGCGGTTAACATCAATAAAGTCAACGAATTTATGTGATGTGTATATAAATAACTTTTAATTTCTATTATTATATGCCACACAGACACTGTTCAAAGTATGCGCCCCTTGCTGGTCATCAGCTCATTCAGTTTTATCATTTTTAGTGGACTTTAGCAGTGTGTGCACACTTATTCCAGGCCTGAACAACCCACAACCCACAACTAGCAGCTGTATCAATTTCATTTAACAATTTGTTTTCCATTAGTTGAATCTTTGAGGCATGGCTGTGCGCACAATGGTTCCATTGTTTGGTCATTTGGATGTATCGTTGTTATGATGCCTATTAACGCTATTATTATGAAAATTTTCAGCATCATTGATTTTTGTTACCGATTTTCTAATTTAGGCAAATTATGCCTTATATATTCACTCGATTCAGTCGATTCTCTCTTTCTCTCGTTCGATATATCGCTGATTTATTGAGTTTCTAATCGGTATCTATGGGCATTCAATACATTTTAGTTTTGTTGTTTTCTTTTTTTTTTTTGTGTTTTTGTTTTACATTCAGTGTGTTCTAGAGGCCGCCAACTGTTAACTGCTTGCGTCAATATCGCTCCGGTTGAATGAAATGCCCTCAACTTGGCTTTTTCCTCAATGAAACCGGACATTAACATAATCTTTAGGCAACTTAACATGCACATATTGATACTTTGTCTGTTTGTGTTTGTGTGTTGGAAAAAGAGAGCTCTTTGGAGATGGAAAAAAGCGAAACCTGTTCGTATTTGAAGCCAATATCTTGTCTTACACGATGTTTCTTTGGGGGTTTGTGGCTGCTGCTGCTGTGGTTATTTGTTAGCCGGTGTCAAAGCTGTCACATATATCACGGCAGAGTTCCGTGGGGTCAGCGTGTGGCCCACACGCATCTGTCTCTGTCTGGCCAATTGCATGCCTTTGGCACATGCACATTTTCCGTGTGCGTGTGTGTGTGTGTGCTGTCCACTGTGACCCACTCTTCCCCCCTTTCGCTCCTGCTGCATTTGTTGCTGTTCGTTGCATAGTAATTGCTGTGCTGTCCCCTGGAGCCATCATGCCGCATTTGTCCACCGAGAGCTATGATTTTAACACAACACAACACAGCACAACGAAAAAAAAAAAACAGTTTTCATAACGCGCGACTTTTCCAGTCGTGATTGCAATTGGCAGCCAATCGAGGGGGTAGAGGGGTTGGGCCAAATGGATTCCAGACATATGTTAGCCTTATAATTTATGTTTAAGCTCGATGTAATTTTAAATTTAGTTTATTAATTGCACCAACCGATCGACGAATGTTTGCCTGCGGCATCTCCTGTCTCGCCGCCGCGCGAGCTCTGGAGAGTTCTGTTTGTTTTTGTGTGTAATTCATTTAATTGCATAGAATTTAAACGCTCAAGGTTGAGACAAGCTGCTAATTTATATGTCACTGGCGCTGGCGCTGGCGAAATTAAATGCATTTAACACGTTACTTGACAAACAAACAAACGAAGACCGAATAACGAACAGCATTCAGGCGGCGGCTAAACACTCGCAAAATTATTCACTTTGCTTATAATTAAACTCACTCGAGTGGCTCATTAAAATAAATCATCAGACAGCGCGAAAGTAGCCCGGGCCAAAGCTAAATATGCAGTGCTTAACTAATTTACCTAAATGAGCTATAAACAAACCCAAAATGTGACAAAGTAACCGAGAGAGCGGGAACGATAGAGGTTGCAGGAGATTGTCGGATAAAATATTGGACCTGGAAGCTATTAAACAATTTGTTGGCCAATTATGATATTAAACAAGTTATAGAAATTTATTCTTCATTTAATTTATTTGCCACAAGTATTAACCAAATTTATTTGCAAATATTTTGCACTGGGAGCTTATTCTTGATTTCAAAAGAATTCACTTGAATTAATTTGATATCTTTTCGCCCCCGACTGAGAAGTTAATTCTTGATTTGATATATGTATAAAAAGTATTTACCAAAATTTATTTAAGAATTTTTAACCCTGACTGAGAAGTCACGTAAATTTTATTTAATATATTTAATACTTTTTTGCTCCGACCCCGTAGATTATTCTCAATTTAATTTACGATTTCTTCCAGTTTCTTGCCCCTAAATGATTCTTGGCTTTATTTTATTTAATATATTTTAACTGAGAATTTGATTCTTGACTTGAAAGAATTTACTTTCATTTATTTTATGAGGTAATTGAGAAGGCTAGTTTAAAAAGTTTGTTCTAATATAAAATGCATTTGATGTCTTTTTCCCTGACCGATATTTCTAGTATTTCAGGTAACCCAGCCCCTCTCTCAGGTTCTCAATTCAATAATGTCACACATTGAACGTTTTATCAAACTAATTAAAGGCTAAAAACGTTTTAATTGGACAGCCGATAGACTTTTGAATAGCGCCTGCGAACAGTAGCTCAAAATGCAACAACTGCGGCTAGTTGCCGCTTGCAACAGCCACTTGCAGCTGGTGAAACCTGAGACTCATATGTGCACGTCTCTCTTGTCGTCTGGAGGAGCGCACTGGCATTTGGCTGTGCCACACAATCTGCATATGAAAACGCAAGTCTGCGGCATGCCACATGCTGCCTTTGGTATTTAGCCTAGCTAAGCGCACCCGTTAACTTAAAGACACCAAATAGATAGATGCCAAGAGATTTTGACAGGCCAACTATCGATCTATACATTTAGTCGTGGATCGTGTCTATCGACTATCGTTAGTGCGCGCGCCCCGGCATCGAGTAGTATCGAGAACTGTCTGACAGCCGCTCAGGGCTGAAAATTGTAGCTAATTGAAATGTCGATAAGGCAACAGAGTTTTGACATGCTGACAGCTCGCTCGGCTAGCTGTCTCCCAGTCTGCCAGTCCCTCTCTGTCGCACCAGAAGAAGCAGAAGAAGTTACTGCGTGGCCCACATTGCGTATACGTAACGTTGACTCATTGTCTGTCTGTCTATCGTACTGGCATATTCTAAGCCAAAGCCCAAAACAAATGCCGCACA